TGAGAAAAAAAAAAGAAAGGAAAAGAGTGGTTAAAAAGTAAAAAGCTGTGCTAAAAGGAATGTTCGGGGTTCAGTCAGGGCTATCGTCTGCTTGGGACAACTGAGAATGTTGTTGTTCCAGGTAATTTATCCACATCTTCGCACTACTATGATGGCATTTCATGTATAAATCACAGAAAAAAAGTAGACTTTTAGCAGTAAAACACCAATACAAGAACCAGCACAATCTCATGGCAGTTTGTAACTATTTTACATTTTGGCAAATTGGTGACTAATTCATATGAATGTATACGATCTCACTCGTACTTTTTCTACTTACACCCCAGCGACGGCTATGTTTAGGGGTAGGGTTAGAGGTGGACATTCATGCTTACTTTTTCGTTAAAAATAATACATTTTCGTATGAGTCACATTGTACAAATTCATACAGAATCACCACCTCATAAAATAGTTTTCCTGTGAGATTGGGCTGTAAAATACACACTGACAGAAACATTACACATATTAACATGAGCTCTGAGCATGTTGAGTTCATCACAAGACCAAGACCATGAAAATATGGTTTTGGACTCAGACTTGAGTACTAAAACACGGCTAACATTGTAAACTTTCCAAATTCTCATGATCTCATGTCATAACCATGTAACTCATATTCATATACTATACAGAAAAAAAGAAAAAGGATGTGAAAACAGTGTTGAAAAGACATCCCTTTGCCAAAACGATGATTTAGACAACACCTGAGCTCAAATAAAATATTTTAGTACAGAAGTATTTATATAAGTGCTTTAGCTGCCACTTCTTGACCCTTCGGAACATTTCTCCCCATAAACCTTTATTGTACTGTAAAAGTGACAAGTTTAATTATTGTCTGTGGTAACTACCAACATGCCACATAAGCTGTCCATATGCACTTGTTGCCTCATACACCATATTTATGACCATCAGCGGGCAAAGTAATGGCGATACATACAAAAATACATCCATCAATGGATTTGATCCATAAAAAGTACCAGAAAACACTTTTACAGATCTCAGGTTAGCCCAGTGTTGCCAAGTCTGTGGTTTTCCCGCGGAATTGGGCTACTTTAAAGGGGTCATATGATATTGCTAAAAATAACATTATTTTGTGTATTTGGTGTAATGAAATGTGTTTATGCGGTTTAAGGTTAAAAAAACATTATTTTCCACATACTGTACATTATTGTTTCTCCTCTATGCCCCGCCTTTCTGAAACGCGTCGATTTTTACAAAGCTCATTGGTCTGAAAAGCAAGGTGTGCTCTGATTGGCCAGCTATCCAGTGCATTGTCCGCGGGTTGAAGCGCCCCCAATAACGTGATATTCAGGCCCTGGAATGCGAATTTTACTGGAGGAACCACCTCCGAAAAACGTGTATTTTACCCCCCGCAACGCAATTTTTACCGGGGAACCCCGCTTGAAACACGTTTGGGCTAGTTTTGAGTAACAATTGGGCAGGTTGTGTTGTGAAAACCTGGCAACCCTGGGTTAGCCGATACCAAATAACCTTCATAGACATTTCTATATGTTTATTCCATAATCTCTGTATGTAGTACACTCTAAAAAATGCTGGGTTAAATACAACCCAGTGCTGGGTAAAATAGGGACAAACCCAGCAATTGGG